GAGGGGCTTGTGGCCGTCGAACAGAAAATGACGAGGGTGACAGGGGGAAGCGAGCAAGTTCAAAACATGAAGCGGGCTCCAAGCGGCCCATGAAATTGTGGTGGTGGGCTTGGCAAGCGCATGACCGTTGCGAGTGACAAGGGAGCCTGTTGTCACCGCACTGCACGCTTTGCTGGGCCGGCACGTCCCATTTTCATCAAAAGAGCCCACACTCACGCATCATCCATCCAGACTCTCCATCGGTTCATCAGTTGTCATTCACGCTGTGAGCCGCCCGACACCCACAGTCTCTCTCACGCGCGTCGTGGACCGTGCAAGGCAACGGGCTGCGCATTGAGGGGCAACGGGCGCGGTCGCCCTGCGCCGGCTTCCACTCCCAGGGATGTCCGCAGATTCAAGTTTACGCGGGAAAATATTTGAATGACTGAACAAATCAAAATTGGATGTTTTCAATAACACTTTTTCAACACTCTCATTCGACAGTTCACAGCCACACACTCGCTGTGCTTCGCCGTCTCTGCCTTTGTCTTTTTCACTGTATGACTCTCTCGTTTTCTCTTCATCTCCGTCCGTTTCTCTGCCTCTCCCTCCTGTTCAATGTCATCCCTCTCTTTTGCCCATCATTTCCCACGGTAAGGCTTCCCTCCCCTACCCCTTCTCTCTCCCCTTACCTCTGCTCAACCTCTCCACCTCTACCCAAACCTCTACCTCCACCCCAGTCTCTGCCACACCACCCCTCTCTCCTTCTCTCTCTCTCTCCCACAGCACACACGAGTTCTGTCTTTTCTTTCTCTCTCTCTTGTCGTTGGTCGCTGGTGGCTGGACCCTTGACCCCGGTCGTGCTATTCAACCCCTCTCCCTGCCCTCCCTGCCCTGCCTACTTCAAGGATTATTGCAACGAAGAGGAGTTGATTGACGCGTGTGGACGTCGTTCGGTGGACGTGAATTGGTGCTGTCTTTTGGGCAGCGCTTCATCTTTGGTTTCAGACCAACCGACGACTGGCAGTGCTGCACGACAACACTGATTGGCAAACCCGTGACTCGTGTACGCCAGCCGCTTGCATCTCTTGGACAGAATGGCTGCCGCCCGTGTTTTTGCCACAGCGCGTGCGCTTGCGCGACGTGCTCCCAGCACCCTTGCTGCCCTCGGACAGGCTCAACAAGGTATGGCCTGTGCCCCTGCCAACCTCTTGTTGACGCGCAGTTTTCTGCGCCATCTCGCAGCGGGATGCTCGGGCCGAACAAGCAGCTGTTTGACGGCTTGCCTTTTGCTTCAAGCACAAGCAAACAAGGGTTCGGAAAGCTGGGGTTTAGATAGGCCGTATCCCGCGGAAGACTGTTGTTCCAGTAACGCACACGCACAAGGATTTTTTTTTTCTTTCTTTCTTCTCATGTTGCACGTTGTGATTTTATCGTCTTGTCTCGGATAGCTCGTGTAGCTTTGCCCACCCTTGTGGCCAAGCGCACTCTGTTTGGCTTTGGTGTCCCTACGGAAGAGCGCCCAGCGCAGGCCGAGACCCCCTGGTACAAGCGCCAGGCCACTGATGACTATGCCGAGTTTAATGAGATTATCTCCGTGGAGGAGCGACAGGAGCGTATTGCCATGACAGACGAGGTGTGTCATGGCATCTGAAGACGCATTCCGAGCCATCCGTGCCATTTGTTACACCGGTCCAAGCAATTGGCTACAGTCACCGTGACACAGCCCAGCTGGGCCGTGCTGCCCATATCTGGCACACAACACATCTGCCTGCTACATTCAAGCCGTTCGTTTGATTCATGGTGCCTCTTGCTCCTACGCTAGATCCTGGCCTGCCACGAAAAGGGCGTCGTTCCCGACACGGACCTGTACAGCCGCCTGCTCAACATGCTGATGAAGTGGGATGACCGGTAAGTTTTGACTCGTTTGCTGGTTCAGTTTGCTCTTTGTCATGTGCAAAGAACCGGGCTCATGCTCTTCCACTCCTTTTTTTTCCCTTCCCCTAATTGAAATTCGTACTTTTTGCAGAGAGGGTGTCATGAACGCTCGTGAGGTGGCCGTCGAGATGAACGTGGCGCTCTCGCCCGAGCTGTTGCAGAAGGTTGACGATTACCTGTCGGACGCCGAGCGCCGCTTGAGCCGATTAGAAGTTGTATAAGCGGCTTTTGGGCCGATTGACTTTTGGTCTTTCCCTTGACCGCTGGGGACGGGGGGGAAGCGGCTGGTTTCTCTACACCCCTCCCTCCCCCTTGTCCCTCTTACTCCTCTCTTCTTTTTCTTCCTCTTTTGCCATGTTTGTGTTTTGTCGGCGGTTAGTCTGGCGTAGTTTTTTCTTTTTGGCCGTGCCAGACACTGGCCTGCGTTCCGGTGCTTGCATCGCCCCTCCTTTTTTTTTTCCTTTGGTCTCCTTAGACCATTTTTCTTTTTTGGTTTGTTTGTTGGACCCCAAAGGCCAGGCCGATGCTTAGGCATTGCGCTTCCGGCCTGGCCTCTCGTCGCCTAGTTTGGGGCAATAAGCCATCCACTTTTGCTTCCTCAGCTCAGAACAGTTTCCAATTCCAGTATTGAAAGAACATTTATGGTCCTGTCTCCCGAGTCCTTACGTCCAGTGCACGGTTCTGCAACAACGCACACATCCTCCCGTGAGGAGCGCTGCCTCCAGCTCAACCCATTTCCCTGCACAGCTTATCTAAAGATGTTAATGCAGTGTTTGCGTGCGTTATTGACGAAGGGCTGCATTCAGCACTTGTATTCTGGCGTACTTTTCGTAGCAAAATAATCGGTTATCGTCGTGTTTGCATCGTTCCTTTTTGGGTCATTTTTCGCGAGCTACTTGCACGAATCACTCCAACCGGTGTCGGTCCCCGGGCTCAGCCAGCTCCCAGCAAACGTTGGCCAACCCTGATCAGCACTGTCGCGTGGTTGTCACACAGCGCTCGCTCCGGAGGAGCTTCCCTCCCGCACAAGTCTGCTCCACCAGCGCTGGCGCTTTTGCCAAGACGATAATGGCTTTGAGTCGCGCGTGGTTGTTCCCGCTGGCCTTTGGCGCCACGCTGGGTGGCTACTACGCCATGTTCAAGCTGCGCAAGGACGTGCCGTTTGTCACTGAGGGAAAGGCAGAGCGTGCTGAGCAAGCACGAGAAGCTGCCGAGGCTTTTCGTGCCACAGTCGCGCAAAAAGCCAATGTGGACCTCAAGTAAATGACCGGCCCAGCCTGGTCTCTTCCCTGTTTGACAAAAGTTACCCCCTGGCGGTGGTTCCGCGCCTTATCCCTACCCACCCTGCGTGCCTCTGCCATCGACTTGACCGAAACTACAGTCGGGATTTTGAAACCTTGTTAATCGATTTGTAATTCAAACATGTGCACTGCGACACCAATCAAATCCCGTCTTTTGTTTGCCTTTGGCATCTACAGCTAGCCGACCTTTTGACCGAGGGGAGACATTACAAGGGCGGCATACCAAGATTGATCTGTGCTCGAATGGGATGATCCATGCCAAAGACCAGCTCAAGCATGGTCTTGGCGTGATGCAAAGTCTCCGGGCCCTCCGGCTGGCCCAGCTCAAATTGTAGCTGCGCCAGGGTGAGCAGCTGCAACCACAAGGATCCCGTCAAATCAGATGCATGTGCCCACAGCAACGCGGACGCCAGCTCAAGCGCTGTCATGACCTACCGCAACGGCATGGGGAGGAAGAGGGCCAAGTGTTGGCTCGGCCGCCCAGCAGGCCAACTCCGTCCGCACCACTTGCTCCGCCTGTATGGCACCGCAAATCCCATGTCAGATCAGATGTCCGCACCCCAGCCCTTACCTCGCAAGTGCTCGTGTGAACTGCCAGGTCCGAGGCACCCACCTCACGATACATCTGTAGGGATAGGGTAGCATCCAGCAGTCGCCGACTGATCGCCATCTTCGCCGTGTTACTGTCGGGCGCCAAGTGCTTTGCCGTGGCCCATACTAACCACGTGTACCCGTGCGCACCGTTTCAGCACCCTAGCCCCAGCTTAAGACCAGAGCAGACCAAATGTGCAAAGGGCCCCCTGGCCCGCCCATCTGCCTCTAGAAACAGCCGTGACTCAGCTTGAACATACCTTCCAAAGGCTTGACCACCCGGCCCTGACTGAGCTCGGCGTCAATGTCGGCCTGAGCTTGTTTCCAGGCAGCTACATCCTTCACCCCAGCATCTGGGTCTTGACTTGCCTCGGTCGCGCAGCGGGCACAGTCACAGGCAAAGCCATAGGACTGCACCAGCTCACGCCTAAACACCGGTTTGCATCGACCACGTCGCGTCGTGAGCCGAAACCTTGCTATTCGAACCCGCCCCCCGGTTCCAATAGCCGGCACTCACCGGCGGACATCACGCGCCAGCGTCGGGTCCACATAGGAAATGCAAACCTCCTCGCCCTCAGGGATGTCGCGCATGCTCCGCAACACCGCCGCCGCTCCGTTGTAAACGACGGCAGCGTTGGGTTGACAAGAATGATTGGCGCGACTCAGCTCGGCGTAGACAACGGCACCAAAGGAGCTCATGTCAAAAGTATCACACCACCCAAACGTGTTGGGCATGAGCTATGTGGTACACACATGATGGCACAGGAGCAAAGGGTCAGGCAACGTTTGGATGACGGCTGGCCAGGTGATGGCCGCGAAGGATAGTGTGTTCCTGTTATTAGTTTCAAGTCCAGACCTGCAGTGCAAAGGCCAAAAGCTTTGGGGCTAATTCCTCGCGTTCCTCCTCGCTCTGCCGAGGAGCAAGCGCAATGGCGGTGAGCTTTGTTTGAAACAAGACAGGCGAGAGGCAAGACCGCATTCGGCACACGTGGCCAACGCACCAGGCAAATGCTGGCCACTCCCAGAGCTCCCGTCAAAAGCTCTTGCTGATCCTTGGCGCTAGGAGCTACACAAAGCCGCAAAGTCAGTCCATGATGGGGGTTGAGACAGCCAAACCAAGGATGCAGGAGCGTAGGGACCCAGGCGGGGCATACCAGCGCGGCGATAAAGGGTACTGAGGCGGGCATCCCCAGACCGTACCGTGCGTAAGAGAAGACGCACAAACGTGGGAGGAAACTGTGGAGCCACCTATACGAGCAGAGGGGAAAGAATGACTTGAAGCCACGCCAATCGGATGCGAGGCCCAAGTGGCGCCGTATCGGGAAGAAAAGTGTGCAGGCCAACCTTGTTAAAGCTGGCGCATTCGCGCTTGTGTGCCTTCCAGTCCCGTTTTTGGCACCCCGGTGAGCAATAGGCAATGTTCTTGCATCGCGAGCACCGCTTCCAGCTCGGCCGATCCCCGGTCATCTCGACGGCGGCCTGCGCCCCCGGATGCCCGTACGCCAGCGCTCGATCCACCGAAAGCCCACACCCAGCACAGCGACGAAACCGCTCATCATCCTCCACCACTGCCACCACCGGCAAAGCCTGCCGAATCGCCGTCCCGGCCCCCAGTCGGCCCCCAACGACCACCAGCCCCTGCCCTTTCCCAGGCACCGCCTTCACCTCCACCACCACCATCGTCGTGTGTGCTCGTGTCCGGCCGCAAACGTCTGACAAATGCTATTTTTGAGGGTATTTAAATGTCTGACATATGCGGTGGAGATACGGTTAATGTAGAATAATATACACTTTTTGTAGATATTGAATTTTTGATAAGGCGCATATGATTAAGAAGTTGTTGCTGTGCACGGGGAAATGGCTGGGATGACAATTTATTGTCACTGAATTCGTTCCATTTTTTTCAACGGTTTTTTCTTTTTTTTTTTTTTTTTTTTTTTTTTTTTTTTTTTGGCGAACATCTCTGTGTGTCGGGGGCATTGACGGTGGAGGATCAGGTTCGTCTGTATGCTAGTTTACTGATCTGGGCCTTGGACGTCGGTGGGGCAACACCAAGGATTAGTCCCATGGCTCAGTTGCCGCCTGGATCTGGCCCTGTGTCGTCGAGTTGAGCGGGGCGTGCTGTTTTGTCGCTTCTAGTAGATCGCAGCGGGGACGGTCAGACAAGCATGGCGGCCAAGATCAGGCTAAGCAAGAACGCTGTCTTGCATCTCCACCGCCATGGCCTCCAGCAGACGGATCCCTTTGAACCCGCCTATGTCCAGGTTTTGTTTTTTTTGCTTTACCCGTTGACCAAACGGCTGCCTTGGCCTCTGCCTCACAGAACAATTTGCATGCTGCGGCCACATGGCTCGTCTGTTAGGTAATGTCCATCTACCAAGCATTTGTCGATGCTGCCACCGTGAGCCTGGACCCGGCATACCAAGGACAGAACACCGTCTATGAGGTCTGCCTTTGTGTTTGTCATTCCAGTGACTTAATTCTATCGCTGTAGTTCAGGCGACCCGAGGCCAAGGTTGACTCATTACAAACTGGTTTGCTTGCTCCTTGCGTTCCCGCCTCCACTTCCTGGGTACGAATCAAACTAGGTCGAGCTGTCTGATGGCCACTATTACCAGCGGTGCTTAGTAGCCCCAGATCATCTCGATAGCTGGCGTCATGGGGCACTGGCCGTGAACGATGTTGTTCTCGTGATCTCCATTCGCACCCGCTTCAACGAGTTCCAGCTCAATGCCCCGCCCATCGTCCTGCTGGGTGAAGTTGTGCGCGTCCGTCGTTTTCCCCGGGAAATTCACCAGTCGGGGGTGCGCGCGCTCCGCCCAGTTGAACATCAACGCAAGTGCGTAGCCCCGCCCGCCGCCTGCGCTGGTTTGTGCTTGCCATTCTCACCCGCCACGCCGGTCATCCCTGCCTTGCATGCCAGACTGGATCGCCACACCGCTTTGGCCAGTCATTGCCAACTACGGCTACTCGCCAATCTAGACAGCATTGACATGGCGGCATCAGGTTTTGAGCTCAACCGTGAGGCGCTCATCTACCCCGAACCTACAGTTCCCCACACCGACGCTGCGTCAACGCCTGGTGCCACAGACCCGCTCCGGCAGCAGCTACTGGACACCCGTGTCTTTTTAGGCCAGGCCATCAATGATCTCAAAGGTCTTGGCCAGCAAAAGGGTTGCTTGATTGTCACTCTGCTTCGAAAGTCCCCCATCTACTGCCACGCACGCGCTGACACTACTCAGAAATACCCGGTGCGCGCCTACCTCGAGGTTCGCGATCATGTCGGTGGCCCCAAGGCCGTCATTGTGCTCTGGACCCGTGCTGTCCACCTCTTCTACGAATGCCTGGAAGTCGGTGATGTCCTGGTGATTGAGAACTACAACCTTCGCCGCCCAACCATGTTCCTTCCCATCTTCAGTAACGCTGAACTGGAAATCAGCGCCAACTCGAGTCACCTCGAGACCCGCATTCGCATTCTCTCCCCAGCCCAAGTCACGCGCATTCAACCCAACGTACCGAGCTTGGGCCAGGAACTCTGCTTGCGACCCCGTATCGTCGCACCCGCGTGTGAAAATGGCTCCGGCACATCCATCGCGGGCATCGTCACACACGTGGGTCGGCTGCGCCGGACGACCATCCGTCACCGCGCTTGCCTGCAACGTTGGATCAAGGTAGTGGATTTCAGCCAAGGTGATCGACCCTGGCTTGTTGCGCTGGATTGCGCGGCAAATGCCGAGCTCTTTTTCGACCTTTCACCGGGCATGGCCGTCCTCATTATGGACCTCAAGCTCCAATGGATTCTACCAGCACCTGATGTGCTCTCGTACAATGTCTGCCGCGAGCCCTTTCTCTTTTCAACCGACCGCACTCGCATGTGCGCCTTGCTCGACGCTGAATACGAAGCCCGCTTTCCACAAATCGCCGCCCTGGTTGACACGGTTCACGGCGTACGTACTTGGCAGCCCGCCCCATGTGGATGCACATGATATCCCCGCCGCGAACGCCATCTGCTCATTGTTTGCTGTGCTGCATTTCCATTCCCGCGTATTAGTTGGTCCCCATCCTGAAGCATGTGGCCGAGCACCGCGAAGAGGTCAAGAGACACGGATTGGTCGGCGGTTGGCTTCCTTATCGCTATTTGATCGAGGAGTTGGGTTGGCAAGATTCCCTCGACTGGGCCAAAGACTTGACCCCCATGGCAACCCTCTTTGAGGCAAGCGTGTGCATGCGTTGACAAACCCCGAATTTTTGTTTTGACTGACCTTAACTCCTTGGGCCATCCCGCCTGCAGGAAGCCCATGCGCTGCCTCTACATAAATCTTCCTGGCACACTTTACAAGGTGGGCTCTGTGCTCTTTGCTTTTCTTTTTCTTGGCCTGTCCTTGAACTCGCCCCTTGTTTTCAATTCGCCTCTGATTTTGCCGCTTCGGTCATCCATTTTATTTCTTTTCACCGCCAGCGGAATTGGTGGGGCTGCGAGTTATTGATGTGAATGCGCTGGAGCAAAAAACGACAAAAAAACCCCTCATTGCGTCTGAGATATTGCCGAGCGATGTCCCACCCAAGAGACGGCGAGGCCGACCTCGCAAAAAACCACTGCCGAGCCCGAGCACCTTGCATGGTTTATCAATTCTTCAGCATGCCGAAACGGAGGAAAACACACAACAACACTTGATCACCACAACGGCTGATGTTGAGGTGAATGCGTTGTTGCTGGCGCCGTGTTCCTTTGAGGTATATCCCAGCTACAACTCACGGGAAGATTTTCTGCCAATCGCTCTGGCGCAGCCTCTACTCAGTGCTCATGAAGAAGGCGAAGACGAAGGCCTTGATACGAGGCAGCCTTTTTACGTAGGCCTTGTCACTTTACAAAGTCTTAACAAAGAGGTTTGTCTTGAAGGCTACATTCTCTCTTTTCACTCGTCACCCGTGTATCTCAAGTTCAACTCGGACCGGCTGATGCGCTTTCGCAGCTAAGTCTACAAGCAATGCTGGCACCCCTGCGGCCGTGCCGAACTGCGGATGCGTTTTTGGATTGCCTGGCTGCTTGGAAGCCCGCACCTGACGCCCAATCAAGCGACAGGTCCGCCATTGCCTCAACCGTCTCCCCGCCGCGATTGTGCAAGCTCTTTTAATCCTGTCCCGATCCTTTTTTTTTTTTTTTTTTTTTAGCCAACCAATTGTGCAATTGGCCCAGTGGGTGCACACGTTTGCAAACTCTCGAGTTGTGTTTAGCATCAACATGTCACGACCCCGGGCAGGTGATGCCGTGGAGCTCATTGTAGGCCACATCAGCCAAGTCAGATCGGAGTGATTTTCTGGCACCCCTCATCAGGAAGAAGCAACCACAAGGCTGATGCGTTGTCTTGCTACATAATTGATTACATCTTGAGACCCAGCACTGTCGGGTTTTTTGTGGCTTGCACGGTTTCTGGTTTATTTCATGGGTTGGTGGACCTCAAGGCATTTCATCATGCCAAAGTCGCTAGGACTTGCAAGGACAAGCGGAAAGCTTGGCGTGTAAATCGATTCTGATCTGTCTTGAAGAGCTGAGACTGTTCAGGCCTGCGGGTGACGTGCCAGCTCATCATAGGCCATGAAGATGCCGTGATAGAGTGGAAACACCGAAATAATCATCCAGAACCAGGCAAACAAAGTGCGAGTGCGGGGTGCGCGGGCCAGCAGCGCTCCCTCCAAGAGTACACCGATACCATGAAGAAGGAAGAAAAGGAAAACGAGGCCCCCATCCCACCAGCTAGCCCCTGCGTACATCAGGGAGAAGGTTGAGCAAAAACACAAGCGGCTGTGAGCGTTCCACGAACACGAGCACATGACCGCAGACCGTGCACCATGGTGCGGTCTGCGCCGTTTGTCAAGCCGCTTACCAGCCAACCACATGGGGTAGGCGTGCAAATGCCCACTGCCAATAAAAGCCATTAAGACGCCAGCTGCCACGGGCAAGCTGAGGTCCTAAACAGTGTGGCATCAATCAATTCATGCGCAAATATGAGATATTTTGGGCGTACAGAGCCGGGCGACGAGTGAATCACATCGACATGCGCCAGGGCAGGCGACATGCGGTACCTGGACGGTGGGAGTGAAGAAGCAAGACTTGAGGACGGGTTGGACGACGGTGTTCCAGCGACGGCCCCAAAACTCGGCCAGGGAAGAGCTATACCAAGCTTCGTCCACAAGGGCGGGAAAGGTGAGGCCCGTTCCCAAGTGGAGCCAGCGCGCCCCGACGTCGGCAGACAGCATGAGGCCCACAAAGGCTGCTGTCGGACAGAGTGCAAGCCAAAGAGCGCGGAGTGCGAGAGCTCCGAAACTCGCCACACCATCCGCAGCCGAGGGTAATCTTCGGCAGGTGGGATCCAACCGGGTATCCAGGTGGCCGAGGCCCAGCATACACAACTCGTTGGGGTAGTGGGGGACGATGTACAGGGAGCTGGCCATGCCCAAGATGAGCACCACGAGGGCCAGGCGGGTCATGCGATGCAGGTGGCCGCGGTAGGCGGCGAGCTCGTCAGAGCCCAGCTCGGAGACGGGAATGGCCACGCGTGTATCGTATAGGGTGAGCGTGCGGCGCATCAAATCTGGGAGGCGCTGAACCGGCTTTCCACGCGCGCGTCCCCGCCGAAAGGTGAGTCGTCCCGCCCGCTGATCCCGATAGAGCGCGATGATGATGAGCGTTTGATACCACGTCAGCGCATTGACCAACGCCGCGAAAAAGGGATGCAGGGATTCAGCCCAGGCGCGCAAGATAAAATAAATGCCTGCGTGCAGCGCCAGCATCAGCGCCACGCCTGCGCGGCCCCAATGACGGCTGACGCACCATGTTGGCACAGCCACGCCTATCCCAACAAGCACAGCGACCCCCACATTGAAACCGTACGCATGAGCAAACATCCGACACAAACACACACACACACACACACACACACACACACACACACACACACACACACACACACACACACCAAAGCCCGCTCCCCCTTGCCGCCATGCTCTCCCCCTCTTACCGCTCAAGGCCGCCACCGTTATTAGCACCGCCACCAGCGCCGCCATGTCCCATGTCCCTCTCAACACACATACACACACGCGCGCACACACGAGAACTGAAAATTTCAATCAGCCAGCTGACCACAATTTGCTGACATTTCCATACTACTACTAGCTAGAGAGAGACACACACAGAGCGTTGATTCGATCGGTTTGTTTGCAAAGTTATAAAATAAAGGAAAAGCACAACTACATGTACCACATGTAAGCGAATTTAGAGCGAATTTTTTGCGGTTTTTCCCGGAATTTGAGGTCAATTATTTGGCGCGTTACGGATCACGGGTGGGTGACCCGTTTGGCAGGTCCCCCCCTTTGTGGATGGATTCAGGTTTCTCGCATAGCCTCCAATCTGTCTTGCCTGTCTGTCTGTCTGTCTGTCTGTTGGCATTTACGGCTCGGGAGAGATGACTTGCAACCCTGATCTGCATTTTTCGATCAAGAATACGCCACAAACTCGAAAACATTACATCCGGATGTATTGTATTTATTGGGTCACATTCACCCCTCTGGCTGTCGCGCACTGCTCGCTGCCTTCTTTTTCTTCAGTTCTGCCTCAAGCAGTCATAAGCAAGCGGCGCTCCTCCCGTCTATTGCTCTGGCCTCTCAAACTCCTCCTCCTTACTGTCAGTCATCAACTGCTTCTCTTTCTCCTTTTCTCTCGCGCTCTGTCTTGTGTGTGTGTCTGTGGTGTGTGGTGTGTGTCTGTGTGTGCTGGTAGTCGATCTATCTGTCGATCTCGCTCTCTCTGTTATCTCACTCTTAGTGTGTCCCTGTAGTTCATGTCGGAGAATGTGTCTCTTGTCTCTGTGTGTCTCTTGTCTTACTACATGTGGTAGTTATGCCGTTCCTTCCTGCCTTTGTTATCCATGCCTTCTTTCATCTCTCTCTCTCTCTCTCTCTCTCTTTGAAAAGATGAGATTTCGAAATTCTTACTACACATGCGCATGTGTGCGCCTCTCTCTCTCTCTCTCTCTCTCTCTCTCTCTCTCTCTCTCTCTCTCTCTCTCTCTCTCTCTCTCTCTCTCTCTCTCCATTTTTTTTTTTGTGGCGACCAAGTTGTTCGCTCGCTCTTCTTCTTCTTCTTCTTCTTCTTCTTCTTGTTGGGGGAGTTGAGGGCGTCAGGATGCGGGGCGTCATGGCTTTTGGTTTGATGGCACTGGCGCTGGTGGCGCTGGTGGCTGCGGCTCAGGGGAGCGCGGCTGCAAGTATGGACGTGACGGTGGATTTGGGTCAGACGACGCCGTTGGCGCATTACTGGAAGGAGTGCGTCGGCAGCGGGCACGCTTTGCTGGCCACGCGCGTTGACTGGCGTTCCCATCTGGTCAACGCCTCGCGTGACCTGGGCTTTCGCCGCGTGCGCTTCCACGGTATTCTCGATGATGACATGAGCGTCGTCCTGAACGAGAACAAGACCGACTACAACTACTACAACGTCTTCCAGGTCTACGACTATCTCCTCTCCCTCTCCGTCCAGCCCCTGGTCGAGCTCTCCTTCATGCCTCGCCAGTTTGTTACCTGCCCGGAGAGCGGCTGCCAGTATGCCTTCAACAACCCCGCTGGTGGCTACAAGGGTCTGGTCATGCCCCCGGACAACTTTAGCGACTGGTACGCCCTCGTCAACAACTTTGTTCATGCCCTCACCGACCGCTACGGCCGCGAGGAGGTGAGCCAGTGGCATTTCGAGGTCTGGAACGAGCTCTGGGGCATGCCCTTTCCCGATGACTACATGAGCCTCTACAATGCTAGCCTCCGGGCTGTCAAGGACGTCGACGCCAACTACTCGGTCGGCGGTCCCGGTGCGTCGCGATTTTTGCTATCCTGCTCGTCGCGCCATGTCCTTGGATGAGCCCTTGGTCGCGTCGTCTCATGGTTTTCTCGTCCCTTCCCCTTCCTCTCCCTCCTCGATCGATCCCGCCCCTTGTTGATGTGTCACAGCCACCATGCAGGTGCAAGACGTGGCCGAGTTTATCAAGGAGTGCGACAAGCGCGGCCTGACCTTTGACTTTGTCAGCACCCACCTTTACCCCACCGACCCCAACTGCGAAGGCAACTCGGACGAGGACTGCTTTGCCCATGTCCTCATGAACACCAGCAAGGTTGGTGTGCACGCCTGTGTGCTCTAGCTCTTGCTTGTGCTTGTGCTTTAGCCCCTTGGCCCCTTGACCCCATATCCGTGCCCCCCTTACAATATCAAAACACGCGACATCCACAGATTGTGCAACCGACCGGCAAGCCTACGTTCATCACCGAGTATAACGACGGCCTCGACAACAACCCCATCAACCATCGTGATCGGGCTTTTGCGGCCGCCTTTATCTTTCACCAGGTCGAGCGCCTGCGCGAGAGTCTCGCCCTCTTCTCCTGGTGGACTTTTACCGATATCTTTGAAGAGGAGGGCATGTTCGCTACTCCCTTCTTCAACCAGTTTGGTCTGCAAAACGTCCACGGTGTTGCCAAGCCTGCCTACCGCGCCTTCCAGCTCCTCAATGGCGCTGGTAGCCTCTTGGCTAGCACCTCAGTGCCTGACAACTCTGTCATCACCGTGATGCCCGCGCTGGAAACAACGGGCCATGCCGACAACCTGCGCCTGTACATTGCCAACTACCGCCGCCCCGACTTTGCCGAGCCCCCAACCTACAACCTCACCCTCCAAGTCCGCGGCGTGACCAGCGGCGCCACCTCTGGGACCGCCACCATCTACCATCTCGATGATGAGCACCTGCACGCCTTTGCTACCTGGGAGCAAATGGGCTCCCCCGAGTACCCCACAACCAAACAGCTGGACGAGATGCGTGCTGCTGCCGAGCTCAAGCCGGAAACCATCACCTACAACCGTGATACCTCGGGCCACGTCCAGCTGACCCTGACGCTTCAGCCTTACACCGCTGCCGTGGTCGTTTTCTAAGTGTGCCCTCCGCACGCGAATGCAGCCAATTGAGTGCCTTTGAGGAATTTTAATGCTCAGTCTTTGCACATGACCGGGGGCGGGGCGGGGGAAAGCACGCAACAAATTTGGAAACGTGATGCATTCATGAAGGTTGGGTAGAGTGAAGAAGGCATCAGTGTACACAAACTCGATTCGCGCACAGCGCGCTAGATGGGCGGGTTTCACTGCGGACAAGAATGGCGGCGACATCTCTGACGAGCAAAGCATCCATGAGGAAAGAGAAAAAGTCGCCGGGATCTTAAAAATCCAGGACCAGCTCCTCCACTTCTTCAGCCGGCGGCCCCGTGGTCTTGGTGGCTGCCGATTCCGAGGACTCGCCCGCAGCTGTCGTGAGATCGACAGTTTCCTTGGCCTTGAGTTGCTCCAGGCGCTTGCGATAGTACTGCTTGACTTCTTTCTTGCCGTGGGAGTGGATGACAAAGACTTTTTGAGGCAGACTGGTGCTCCAGATCAAGAGCCCGTGTTCACGAGCAAAAGCCGTGACATCTTCAAATAGTTGGGGCACGTTGGGCAAGTAACGGATCAAAGTGGCATCCAGCTTGGTGAGGCGATTGCTCTCATCTTCCCATAACTTGATTTGATCACGCACAGTTCCGGGAACGGGGGCAAAAGGGTCATTTGGGTTCTTGTTCTTGGCTCGCATCATGGGGCTCGCATGCACCTATTTGGATTAGCCCATGTTTGAAAAAGTCAAAAGAGGGAGGAGAGAGAAGCATGCACGAATAGGGCGTGGCGTGTTGTGGCGAGGTGGGTCGAGTGGGTGCTGTCTCGTCATGGTGGCGGAGCAACAACGAGGATCTCTACCCGCAACTACAACCAACCTGCATGAAGCGCAATATTTGATCGGCAGTAATGCCTTGGCTTAGGGCTCGACGCACCGAAGTACGGGTGATGATGGCGGTGGTCATGATGGGAAGACGATACGTCTAATCAACGAGCCAACGGTATTTTGAGCAGACGGAATGGCAAAAGTCATTTTCACTGGATCAAAAGTGAGGTGGGTAGGAGCGAGAAGCAGGGAGGCCGGACGCACCAGCGTTGCAAACTTGGAGAGGAGAGCCACTTTGACTGCGCTGTCCGTGTAGGCATACACGTGAAAGTTTGTTTCAGCCAAGAGAAAGCCGGTCTCGGTTTGAGAGAGCGCGAGCTCGGCATTGTGGTAGAGCATGACAGCATAAGGGGTCAAAAAGAAACGCTTGGATTTACGGTTGCGGTGATAGACGACACCCATGTAATGAAGTTGGCGCAGAAACGTAATCTGCATCGTGGTCAGATTCTCGGCAGAGAATTCCTACAAGCGTAGCACATCCAGGTCAAAGATGCAGGGCCGACCGCATGGCACCCGAACCAAGACGGATACCTCGTTTAAACGGCCCAGGCCAATGCGAAAAAGGAGAACAAGCGCTTCGTGCATGGGCAGGCCCTCCCCGGGTATGGGCTCTTCCCGGGAGAGAAGTTTGAGAAAAGTGACAATGAGCAGCCACACTTGGTTAGCTCGATCCTGCAAAAGAAACTGGAAGCCTTCTGGCGTCACAGAGATGGGTGGCTGATCGCTGAAGTATGGCCATGCGAGCAAAGTAAGATCACAAGGTTCGATTCTTGGGCTTTACCCTCCAAAGGGAGGGAAACGAGGGTGCACGAAGAGGGGGCACACGCAGTGATGGGCGGGGGAAGCAAGGAACAAACTTGACAATGAGCTGCGCCTCTTGCAATATCAAAATCATGGTGCTGTTCTTGAGCTCGGCATTGGTTGTCATGTAGCTGAGGATGGCCTAGAATGATATCAACGCCATAATCCGAGCAGCGCGAGGGACGGCCAGAGCAGTGAGCAACTATAGTGTGGCAACCGGCAGGACCAATACCAACAAAAGTGGCTGATAGAAAAGAGCAATGCAATTGGCGGGTGTTTTTCTCGGGCTGTCCCGCCACGCACCTCCCAGCTGACACGAGAATGTTCTTCCAAAAACGCAGGCGTGACTTCGGAGGCCTTTTTCGGCGGCGGCATGGCCTGATCTGGGGCGTCCGTGCTGCAAGTATCCCAAGATTAGTCATCAAGACAAATGCAAGAACCACATGAGAGGAAACGTCGGCACCCAAGTCATATTAGCATCAGGTGGGCCCCGTGAGACCAAGTAAGACCGAGAACCCACCGGCCAGCCAGTGCAGTTCGGAGAGAATCCAGGAAGACAGAGCCAAAGGTGAGCATGCCATCCGTCATGGTCTTCAACAGAAAGCGCTGCGTGAGCTCGATGCGCACAGTTTCGGCGTCCTCGTCTACAGCAGCCCACATTGATCGTCAACCGCAACAGGCATCAGCAAAAGGTGGAACCAGACGGCAAACGGGGCACCCAATGACCACTGTTTGTGCCGAACCTTTGAGAAAGTAGGCTGCAAACTGCTTCTTGTCCAGAGTTGCATCGGGCTGGTACAGAAAGCGCAACAGTAAATGCCGGGCCGGGCCCGAGAGGCGTCTAAGCAGAGAAGAAGCCGGACAGCATGAGTCCAAGAGTGGTGCACGCAAAGCCTGGGTCAGTTGCTGCCGCCGTTTCGGGCATCACACTCACTGATAGATGGAGAGGACGGCCGCAGGCTCGGCATACACGAGCTCCACAAAGGCCTCTGGCTGCTTCAAAAGCAGCTCATCCAAGAGGTGCGCCATCATCCACACTGTCAGGCAAGCAGGCGCACAAGGCCCGCGCCGCACCCGCTGTCCCCGCTGCCCTTTCCCGCGCGCACACACACACACACACACACACACACTCTCTCTCTCTCTCTCTGTCTGTGTTTTTTGTCGACAAGAGAAGAGAGAAATTGTTGCTAAAGTTGTCGGGGCTGATGGAGATGTTGTGACACCGCCTAAAGTTGTCATGCTAACATCCACGTGCCCTCGCTGTTGAATGAGCTCGTCTCAAGTCGTTGTCAGACTTTTACGGGCATTTGTGCTCTCTCTCTCTCTCTCTCTCTCTCTCGCACTTTCTCTCTCCGACGCGCGACGGGTTTGTGAGCAGCGGCGGCAGTCAGAGGTACAGTGGGCTCAAGAGTTGTACGAGTCGCGGGGTAGTGGTGGCAGTGCTTGATTAGGCAAAGGGCTTGGAGCTCTGGGCTTGGATTGATTGGCTGCGCCTTGCAACCAGTATCATGGCTGAGGCGTTGAATGACGACTGGTGGGATGGTGCCGAGGCCCCGGTGGCCATGGACGAGGCAGCCACAGAGGTGCAGACTCAAGGCAAGGACAAGGGCAAGGACAAGGGCAAGGACAAGGGCAAAGGCAAGGTGACGAGTAAACGGACGGCGGCATCCGAGTCTGTGGAGGACATTGAAGGGAACGTGGATGCGGCCACCTTGGCCAAGCGCGCCAAGCGCAAGGAGATGCGCAAGAAGCGCGCTGTACGTCGGCACCCGACCCCTGTCAGCTGCTGGTGCTGCTTTGTTGCGCTGGCCTCATCGACGCGTGCTTTTTAGGCCAAGTTTCAAGCCAAGCAGGAGGAATTGCTGGACCAAGTGACGGCCAATCAGGCCACCACGGTGGCTTACTTGCAAAGCTTTCTAAAGTCGTCAGGCTTTGACCTTCCGCTGCGTGAGGGTTCGTAATCTGCGACTTTGGATGCTTTAGACACGGGCGTTGGGTGGCCTGGCTGGTAAAGAAAGGCTCAACCGGCATGTCATGCACGCAGACGACGTCCGCCATGTGGATTGGGACAGCGGTCGTACGCTCGACCAGCTGGGCAACTTTGCGCTTCGGGGTAGGTGTGGTGGCTCTGCTTCGCGGGGGGAGAATTCTGAGAGAATTCGCCGAGCTGCTTGGCTTGTGCAAGAGGTGGTCAGCGCTGGTCCTTAAAGCGCCGCATGGATGTGCACACTGACGACGTTGTGCCGTGTCAGCTCTGGACACGAAGAAGACGATGTTGGAAAGCCGCAAGAGGCGGCAGCACCCACGTTTGATTGTAGTCACGTTTGCTGCCAAGCGTGTTGTGGACCTGATTCCTCAGCTCAAACCTCTCTCGCCCAAGTATCCGGTGGGTTGCGATGACCTCTGGGACAACGCGGCGCGAAGCCCTGACATTGCCCTGAATGTGATGGCGCATCTGTCTTGACGCTTGCTTGCACTATGAGCGACAGGTGGCCAAATGCTTTGGCAAGCACATGAAGCTGGACGCTCAAGTGGATGTGCGTGAGCATGCTGGATGCGTGAGCATGCTGGATGCGCGAGCAAACAGGAAGAGGCAATGCGCAGCAACTCACGGCATTCTGTTGACTGGTTGTTTTGCATCCCAGTTTTTGCAAAAGAAGGAAGTGCAGATTGCTGTCGGAACGCCGCAGCGCCTCTGCGAGCTGTTTGAGCGCGAGTGCTTGTCCTTTCGCAACAAAGAGGTGTTGCTGATCGAAGCGACGACCAAGAACAGCAAAGGGCGAACCATTTTTGAGGAGGTATGCAACTGGCAAGGAACCCCAGGGTCATGTGCGCGATGATCCATGTCCTGTTGCAGAACATCTCACTGTGTGTGTGTTTGCCTGCGACTCTCTGTGGCGGGGTTTATTGTCTCAGGTGGAGAGCAAGGCAGCACTGGCACAGTTGATTGCCAATCATGTGGCGCCGGATATCCAGGCAGCAGAGCCTGGCATGGGAGGCAAGATTGTGTGTTTCTGAGTTTGATCAAGACGGTGCCACGTGTGGATGGCCGACCCTCTCCTTTAATTGAGCGCAGTTTTCTCTTTTCTTGTGTCATGAATCCCAAAATATATTTTGAGGCGGGTAGCAGGGCGAACTCTGATTCGATTAGGCTGGCTAGCGTGGGCAAGCGGTCCTGCACAGCAGGTTGGCGACGCTGGGCGATACGCGATGGCTAAGGCGAGGTATTGGTATTGGCGGGAAGAAACAAGTCTTGAGTTGCAGCAGGAAAATAGGGTGCTACACATGCAAGAACGTCATCTTGACGGGCGGGAATCAAGGCCATGACAACAGGCGCAAGTGAATGAGCAACACGCAGTGCAAAACACAGGAGGGGCGGGCGAGCAGGAGGGAAGATGGTGCACCTTTGAGGGCTTTGATGGCCTCCTCTTGCTGCGTTGTGAGTTGCCCCACAAGCTCAGCCGTCCATTGCTGCTCCGTGCTTTGCGTCTAAATGAGGCGCCCAAAACCAAGTGATTCGCGCGTGAGGCGGGCAAGGTGGACGGCTTGAGTTTTGGGAGTGACGTTGTCACGCACGCTCGCGTTTAGGTTGAACAGATGAAGAGCGATTCGGCGATGAAGGTCTTCAAAGCAGGCCACGAGTTGGGTCGATTCGGGCATGTGCGGTTCGCGTGCCAGCTTGGTTGCTGGAAATTGGCGGAGACATTGGTTTGGCGAGTTTGATGAGAGCAAATGGGCCAGCAGTTGCCAAAATCGGCGGGCACATCGCCAAGATGCAGAAGAAGAACGAGGTGAAGCAGCAGCAACGGAGGTCCTTTTAACAAAAAAAAAAAAAACGAGGAAGAAGACTAGGCGTGATCAGAAGCATGGCTCTCACTTTCAACAGCACCGAGTTGTTGTTGAATGCCAGCTTGTGTGGCTGTCCATGCACTGCGCAGATCATGCCTGTCACCGATAGGCCGAGCCAGCACATGCGAATGAGCCATGTCAGGTGCGTCCTGTTTGCGCTGCTCGCCCTGGCGCCCATGCTTCTCTTGCTGCTTGGAAGGCATGCCAACGCTGTGTGGGCTTACAAGGCGCGACGGGCATCCGTCCAAGCACGTTCACGGCGCCGGCGGGTGGCCGCCAACAGTGTGGGCAAGACACTCTCCGGTACCACGCCCAAGTCCTGCTCCTGCTGCGCTGTGACAAGGCTCTGCTCCCGATCACAGATACCTGCATCCTCCTGTTCATGAGCCAACGACGGATACCCACGTCCTACCTGGCCAAACAAACTAACAAACATACAAACCCCTTCTCCACCACCCCACACCCACTCACCCTCCAAAGCGCGCCATTGATCCACCGTCTCCTGCGCTGCACTCAGATACGCCCGCACTCGACCCGCCACCGCCGCCACCACCGCCTCGGTCATCTCTCCCCTTTGTTGTCAGACAAAATGCCGGCGAGGAAATGATGACAATGAGAGAGAGAAAAAGAGAGAGAGAGAGAGCGAGAGAGAGAGAGAGCGAGAGAGAGAGAGAGAGAAGAGAGAGAGAGAGAGAGAGAAGAGAGAGAGTTTTAGAGAAAGAGAGTTTTAGAGAATTTTAGAGAGAGGGAGAGAGTTTTTGAGAAAGAGAGAGAGGGTTTGAGGGAGGGAGTTTAAGAGAATTTTAGAGAGAGGGAGAGTTTTTGAGGGAGGGAGATATAAATTTTAGAGAGAGAGGGTTTTAGATTAGAGGTTTCAAGAGACGAGAGTCGGAAAAAGTCAGACAAACCATTCATTCATTCACGTGGAGGAGCGACCCGACGGGATGTCCGAGGCGACCAAGCGCAAGCATGTGGTGCATGAGCTCAACACGGAGTATCCCGAGCCGACGGAGGAGCAGTCGATCGTGCGCGTGATTGCGCCGCGAGGCAATAACCTGCACGAGGCCGAGTGGGCGGATGGGGAGACCGGGCTGGTGTCCATGCCCCCCAAGTTTCGCAAGCACGTTTGGATCAAGCGCGGTGCGTGAGCGCGTCGCGTGGACGCGTCACCGAGCGGCCGGTGATGGAGCGATTTCGCCACCGGCGTCCCAGCAAGTCGATGTATGTGTGTTGGCTCATCATCTTCACGTGTAGGCATGTTCTTGATTGTTGAACCCATTCCCGAGAACGACAAGGTCAAGGCTGAAATCATTTTCGTGCTCCAGTCGGAGCATATCCGGCACTTGAAGCAGATTGACCAATGGTAGATCCTGGCTCAGCTGGCCTCTCCCCTCGCATCGGGTATGACTTTGGCTCACGTGCTGTTATTGCCTAAACGGGCTCGTTTTACAACATCCATAGGCCCACCGCGTTTGGCGCCGAAGCCGGTACCGCGGCAGACGACAATGTGGTGGACGACACGTATGTACTTGCTTGTTTGCGCAAAGGACGCGCTGAAGCGTGGTCGGGACTCAGTCAGAGAGGAAGGGTACACGGTCAGAGCAACAACACCTAGCGAGATGAGAGAACTCAGAGTCAATCTTCAATTCCCATAAGTCATATTACGGTGCCCACCCACCACGGCTCGCTCTGCGAGCCCAAAGGTCAGGACAAGTTCTCACATTTGCTTCGTGTCCCTTTGTTCTTTCCCTCCCTCCCTCCCCTCTCTCTCCCTCGTGTCCCTCCTCGGTCGTGGCATCCTGGTCACAGGTCCGAGCCAGAGGATGAATATTTGGATGCAGACGATCCTTTTGCCGGTGGCAACCCCAATCGGCGCCCGACCGCCTACGAGGAGAGCTCGGACGATGAGGATGAGGATGACGAGTAGCGTGCGATCGAGCTGCGCATTCAAAGGCACTCGTCATGGCAAGGCATAGACATGTCGCTCCGGCTACACCGGAATGAACCCAAGATCCAATGGCAGTCCAGTCCAGTGCAAACACATGTCGGTCGACAAACAGGCATGATCAAACGTGAGGCACCATTGTTCATCTTTATTGTTGTTGTTGTTGTTGTTGTGCTTCTTCTTCTCTCTTCTCTCTTCTTCTTCTCTCTTCTCTCTTCTCTCTCTTTCTTTCCTGCCATTGGCCAAGCTCGTTGCCTCTGGCACGGCGCAGATCGGAGGATCGGACCTGGAACACATCACCATTCTGCTCGAGGCGATTGAGGGTTTCCTTGAGAATCGTGGACGCAAGATTGGCCGTGCCCCTCATGTCACGCAGGCTCGTGATGAGGGCAGAGAACGAAAGGCCATCTACGGGCCGGGGCAGACCATCAAGTGTTCAAGATGAGGGCCTTCTCACCAAAAACATACACGAAACGCTAACATCTGTCGCACGTGTTCCTTTGCTAGCGCGCATGTGTGTGAGCGCGCCGTGTTGCGTCGTGCAGTGGTCCATTGTCGCTGAGCGGCAACTTAAAAATTAAGGAAAAAAAAGAAAAAAAAGACCCTGAAAACTCGAATTGTGCAGTGCTGCTTGAGCGGAGCACGGTGTTGGGGCCCTGACCTTTGTGGTTGCCCAAAAGGCTGATGATATTGGCATCCACGGCGCTGGCAGACAAGCTGGAATACACGACCGTGCGCTCTCGTATCTGGACAAGGGGCAGGGCTGAGTCGAGTGCGATGGGTCAGGCCGACATGGGTTTGGTAAGCAAATGACTTACTTGAGCTTGGAACTGGCCCTTGTGCGCAAGTTCGTCGCAAATACGCTGAACATCAAAGATGGTGGCTGTGATTGGGCGATCCAAGGCTGCACGGGCCTCTGCGGGAGTGAAAAATGTCCCGGGTCGCGTTTGGGCAAAGGCCAATATGCGTTCCCCTGTTCGGACAAGAGTAAGATGAGGCATGGTCATGAGCATGGGTATCTGTGACTTGACAAGGCTGGCTCGCCTTCATTGGCGTGGTATGTTTGTCGGCAAGCATACTTAGTTTGCTTTGTTGCTGCTGCTGGGCCTGTGCTGCCCGAGGAGACACCAATTTGGCGAGCTGTGGGCGCATAGGTGCGCGGATGAGCGGCTCAAAGCTTGGACCGGGGCGGGGATGGAGTGGAGCAGCTGGTACCGCTGGGTTGATGGGCTGGCTGTACACGGCCCGATGGGCTTCCTCGGTCTCCTGCCAAAATTGCCATTCCTCGTTGCAATCCTCCTCTGCATCTAAAAACCGGAAACAGACATCAAATGAGGTGTCATGCTTGAGGTGAATGAAGGGGTTTGCTCGATGCTTGATCACGGTTGACAAGGGTCGGTTTGGAGGAAGAACGCACGGATGCCATCCAAGACCATTTGCTTGACGTCGTCAAACACGTTGAGGCGACCGCGGGCCAGCACGAGCTGGCCGACGGGGAGGTGAAACTGTGGGCGATCGTCCTGGTCATTGCGTCGAAACGTCACACAGGGCAACACGCCGGTCCCATCATCCACTGCAGCAGCTCGATGATGGAAGCGGGTCAGCGTGGCGGCGACGGTGTTGGCCTGGCACGCCCTTTGGTAGACATGGCCTGTGGCACGAGGAGGCATACCGTGATAAATGCGAACGCGGGCTCGATCATTGTAGTTGACAATGTAGCCCATGATGGCGATGCGAAGCACGGCGTGGGTTCCCAACCGCCAGAGCTGCAGCTGCGGCGCTTGGGCTTGGCTGTGCACGGACGGCACATTTTCCCCATCATGCTCAGTCCAGAGTTTGAGTTGCAGCGCCTGTCCCACCAAGATCCGAACCGGTGCATCCAGCATCGGATCCAGCCCCCACGGCACAGACGGCGTCATCTCCTCCGCCATGGCAGGCCCGAGTCCCCAAACTTTACATCCACCACTGCGTGGATGTGTATAAAGCCCACACGAGCAATAGCCCCCAAACCAAACTCCAGGGCACCGCTCAGCAGCTCAACGCCAACCCTCCTCTCCCATTGATTGTACCTCCTCCCGCGGATTCATTCTTCACGACCGCTCAAAAAATTTTAAATTTTGTTTTTGTGAGAGAGAGAGAGTGTGTGTGTGGTGTGCGCTTTTGAGTTTGATGTCTTTTGTGTCTTTTGTGTGTGTGTGTGTGTGTGTATGTGTGTGTGTGTGTGTGTGTGTGTGTGTGTGTGTGT